TACCTACCTGCCTGCCTGCCTACCGACCTCCCTATCTACATACACACATACATACACACATACATACATCCGCACGTACCTTCGTACTTACATCCATACCGACCTATATACATAGACCTGCCATACCTGACAAAGTGTCCAGGTACGTGGCCAGCTGCCTTCTTCCTGCCTGTGTGGTGTGCTACAGAGATAAGGGGGTTTCCGAAGATAAGGAGAACCTCATTTTGGGGTCCTTATAATATGGATCCTGCTACTTAGGGCCTTTAGGGTACTATATTAGGGTCCCTATTTTCGGAAACCCCCATAAGGAAAGAAGGTCCACTGTTGTCCTGTGCCGAGTTGCGTGCCATGCTGCTGGACATGCTTTGTCGTGCCGCCATGCATGGTAAACAAAATAGACTGACTATCTTGGGGTGGTTGTGCTTACGCTGTGGCTCGATTTCAGAAAGCTGAATATCATCCCAACGCTGACACCCGTAAACCAAGGATGCAAGCACCGGATGCTACCAAGATCCCAAAAAGGTAATCCTTAGCACAAGGATCCTTTTCCTTCTATTCATAATTTGGGGTTCTATGCACAATGTTCTCCCTCCCGAAACTCCTCTTAGTTGCTGAGCTCATAAGCTCCAAAAAGTTTGAACTTTCAGTTCTATAGGGGACTATGTAAGGGGGTTTCCGAAAATTAGGGGTACCTTATTTTGGGGTCCTTATAATAAGGATCCTATTATTTGGGGTACTATATTAGGGTGCTCTATTTTCGGAAACTCCCATAATCCTAACAAGTGTAAAGGGTACTCGCTCAGCTACTAAGTCCTATCTAGGCCTCCAAGATTCAGCTGACGCTGCTCGCTGAAGGAGAAAGCCCGGGCTACCGAGTCTAGGCGCCACCAAGCCGGCGCCTTTCAGGGTTCCTTTTATCGTTCCTGCAAGGGTTCCTTTTAGGGTTCCTTTCAGGGTTATTTTTACGGTTCCTGTGAGGGTTCGTTTTGGGGTTCCTTTCAGGGTTCCTTTTAGGGTTCCTTTTAGGGTTCCTGTAAGGGTTCCTTTTAGGGTTCCTTTCAGGGTTCCTTCCAGGGTTCCTGTAAGGGTTCCTTTCAGGGCTTCTTCTAGGGTTCCTACTAGGGTTCCTGTAAGGGTTCCTTCCAGGGTTCCTTTAAGGGTTCCTGTAAGGGTTCCTTTTAGGGTTCCTTTCGGGTTCCTGTAAGGGTTCTTTGAAGGGGCGGCTTGGGGCGTTGTTTTGCCTCCCTAGCAGGACAAAACTGGGACACTTCGGCAAGTTGCAGCTACGACACCCAGCTCTTTCAATTCAACAGGGCTTCAGGGGTTGGGCTGCGAGGCAGGCTTTCGGGGTTATTCGCACTTTGCATTAGCATGGTTTCAGCTTCCACAAGAGGCCAATAGTAGGTTCAGGGGTGTAGGGTTTATGAGTTTATGCGCGCAGAGTCTACGGGTGTAGGGTTTCGGGGTTTGCAGCCTCGCAGGATTTTCGGTTTGGATCGCCCCAGGGTCGACGTAGCACTCGCACTCGAAAAAGCCAGCAAGGTCTGGTGTATCAACCCGTCAGAACAACATAGACATAAGCCACCTTTCAGCTCACGAGACTTTAATATGGGGTACCCCCATTGTTCTGGACTCTCGCAACTTATGTGGCTGGGGCATCTTTAGATTCGGCAAGAGTGCAGCCCATCTCCAGCCTTCTCGACCTCAGAGGCCTTCGCTTTCTCGGGCACAGGCACTGCTTGCCTGGCATCTACGAACTTCTAGGGATGCAGGAGGACTTGGGCAGATGGCTGCCATGGGTGTAGCTCTATGACCACGTGTTGCACAGTATTCAAGATGTCGGGCTTTTGGCTCTTTCAACTTTGTAGCGAAAGCCCTGCGACAAAGAAGTGATACGAATGTCCACGTTGGAAGGTGGATGAAGGTGGTCTGGTCAGTGTCAAAAAAGGGCACTGCTAATAAGATGAATAAGATAATGGCAAACTGAGGTGCTCGGGCCATCAACAGTTCCGACACGAAGAAAAGCATTGAACAAAACACTAAGACAAGCCACATTACACGAACTATAAGCCTATAAGCATAATACACGAAATAGTCATTCCACTACGACCACTACACTACAACTATCATTGCCACTATTGCCGTGACTGCCAACACCACAACCGCTCGAGGCAAGGACAGTAACTAGTGAAGCAATACGAGCAAGACAAGCTTGCCACCTGTCTCTGCCATCTTGCCCGCCTTGCTCGCTCCGCGCCTTCAATCCGGCGACGCCTCTCGCCGTCCTTCGAGGCACCCAGGCCATGTTGAACATTTGCTTCGATCATTTAGGCCCTTGAGAAAGGTGAGACGAGGAAAGGCTCTGTCCACGAGGCCCGGTCTTAAGCCAAATCAGTCTCATGGTCCACAGGCAAACTGTGAACGACAAGTCCGGAGCCTACCTAAAATGCCCGAGATCAATTTTGCCATGCACATGGGGCTGCGTGACATTGCCCACCACTGGTCCCAAAGTGGCGGAGATTGAGCTTGTGGGTACTATGAGGAAATATCGCGCCCCAGTCGAACATGTATCGGGTTAATTGAAAGAGACGAAGCGAAGCTCTACTCTTCTTCTTGGTGTGTCCGTAGAGTTCGCTTCAAGTGGTTCGGGTGAGTACCGGCCTGGTCTCCTCCGTACTTATCTTACTTGCTTATCCTCCTCTTTATAAAGGCTTGCTGTCAGATTGAATGGGTGTTAGCTGCTGCTCCTGAACTCTCGCTGGACTTAGAAGGCACCTCCGTCATCCACTCGAACTCCCAGCCGTGCCGCGCACACAGCGCCTTAAGCCGATCCTCGTCCCAGTCCTCGCGGTTTTCAGGGCTTCACGCTCGGGGATTGCCTATTCACGCATAGGCCTATGAGAAAAATAAGGATGACATATTTCAGGCTCCCTTCACAAGGCCTTCGAGTTTCTGCAACCCTCTCTGCAAGCGTGTGAATACGAGGCGGCCTGTGGCAACTGGGGTTTACGCCGTCACCTTCGGGCCTTCGGACTTATCTGACCAAGTTGCTGAACCGAGGCTTGGCTATGCGAAACTTTCATGTAGGTCCTAAGGGCAGAGGCCCTAATCCCTAAACCCTAAACCCTAAACCCTAAACCCTATAGACCCTAACCCCTAAACCCTATAGACCCTATAGACCCCATAGACCCTGGTCCTCAGGTTCGATGGAGACCTGCGCCAGGTTGCTGCCGATGATCCGCGCCGAGGCCTTGGTGTAGGCTTCCACGAGCTCCTGCGCAGCTCAAGGCCAAAAACACAAATTTGGGGGTTTCCGAAAAATAGGGTTTAGGGTTTAGGGTTTCAGGGCTTAGGGTTTAGGGTTTACGGTTTCCGAAAAATAGGCGACCCTAACATAGTACCCTAAGTAGTAGGGTCCTTATAACACAAATGGGGATTTCCGAAAATAGGAAACACGAATATAGTACCCTAAATAGTAGGGTCCTCATTATAAGGACCCCAAAATAAGGTACCCCTTGTTTGCGGAAACTCCCAAATGAGTCAAGCGGATAATGGTTTCAGCGGAAGTTGCTGGCTGAAAAGCCGCGCGCTAGACCGCTACTATTAACTCATGCTCAACCAAGGTTAAGGAGCGGAGGCTGCAAATACTCGTCCGGTGGTGCCATAAACCATCTCCGAGCCCACGAAAGCTCGACGAAGACCCGACCAAAATCCAAAAACCATCCCAAAGCCAGTGTGTCGTGACATGTGGACCTTGAAGACACAGTTGGCTGTTTATGCTTTCAAAGAACGCACGGCGCACAAAGCCATGCTAAATACAGCCAACTGGAAGACATACGGATTGTTCAATGAAAATCACAGCAGCCAGAAAAAGATATGATTGTGACAAGAATTCAAACAAGAGTAAGTTGGTGAACGACGACGAAAGCGCTGAATTGCGCGGGGCCTCAATACGTGGCACTTGGCTCTAACCCCGACTCTGATAGGCATCCCAAGGTTCACGGCCATGATGTGACTGCACTTGGTCAGCTTGCGACATGACCCATTGGTATCCAGGTATGCTACGGGCTTCGATGATGGTGCTCGTGTGATAAGGCAGGGCGCACTTTTTCGATGTTGGCTGTGAGACGGCTTCTGTCCTCGATTTTGCTTTCCGCTGGCTCCGGCTTGTCAGCATCAGTCACGACCTAGAACTGGTCACGTTGGCCGCGGCTACAGTGACCGTGCCAAAGTTTCATGCGGAGGCTGGGCATGGGTATCAGATATCAGATGAACTCAGCTTTGCAGACAAAGTCCGGGCATTTGCCATTTTGTCGCTGGCGGGACTGCGGCTGTGGGACCACAAGGGGGTACGTCATCCGCACGATGCACACGTGCAGACAAGCTGCTGCGAACACTCCCCATCGCATGTCCGGATCATCGCCTCAGTCGGGCGTAGTACCACAAAATTTGCGAGGAAGTCGCGCTGCTGAGGAGGCAGAGAACGTAATTACCGTGGCTCTGACAGCCCCTGTCAGCTGAAAACCCCCAGTTTGACGCGGGCTGCTGCTGCTGCAAATAAGTCCATGCGCGGAGCTGCTGCAAGAGAATGAAACTTTCTCCGAATTTTGCGGTCGTGCATGTGTCGTTCGAACGCCGCGACACTTTCACTACAATAGGCTTGTCATCTGAGTCGTCCTCTCGCACCGGCAGGGCATAAACCAGAGTCGCATACATGTTGCCATCCAAACGCTCTAGGCCTATAGGAACCTACTCCAGAACTGACATATGGGGATATCTGTGGTTGCTGCCCCAGACCTGCTGCTCCTATGTTTTCGTAGATCTGACTCGAATCAATGACGGCAGCCCCTATCAGAATCTGCTGCCAGCGGGCTGCTGCAGCTTCCGCTGCCACTGCGGCACAAAGCCTTGCCCGACACCCCTTGCAAAGGCAAGTTGCTTCCATCCCCATCAGTCGAAAAGACGAACTGCGCGTTGTTGATCGGGACGATAAATGGCGTCCTGGCCACTCTTCCACATCGGGGCAGACCAGGGCTGCAAGCGGCACACTAAGGTCACCAAAGGCCTCAAGAAGGACCAAACAAGCTCTGAACCCTGGCTGTCCAGTCATCGTCGCCGTATCCGGTGAACAGTTCCTCGGGCTCGGCGTTCGCCGGCTCCTTGGTTGTGGGAATCGGGATCTCGGGTTGGAGGGCAGGAGGCCTCAGTCAGCAAGGCCTGGCAGGGCCGCAGGGAGTTCCCATCTTGCCGAGCTTCTAACATCAGCTTGATGCCAGAGAGCTGGCGCAGAAGTTCCGGGTCTTCCAACGCCTTTTTGTACCAAGGCAGGACATGCACATCAGCCGGTACGACTCTTACTGACAGGACATACGAATAGCAACATGCGTGTTGCGCAGTAAACACGCAAAACATTCCGACCGCAGCTGGAGACCTCGCCTGCTGTGGCGTGAGATCCCCAAGCACTTGCTTGTTCTCCTCCAGGTTGAAAGTCCTTGAACTCTCAGCCTATACTCTTCTTGGGTTTCTGGGCTTTTTGTGTAGGGTTCTGGGCTGTTCTGGGCCTTTGTCTGGCAAGCGTTGAAGGTTAAGGTCAGGGTTCCAAGTAATTTACAAACAAGCGTAGATACACATCGACAGGTGAGTCTTCACAGTAGGGGTCGCCCAGTATTGGGCATACTGGCAACAAGGGGCACATCCCAAATGCCTGAATGGTCTAACCGCCTTAATGAAGCGATGGCTCAGCCCTGCATTGTGTATTCTGCCTTCTCTAGATTCAAGCTAAATTCAATGTTGTGGTTGGGAGGCTTTCCGATCATGCAGCTACTTGTAAGCGTTCAAAAGTGCTCGCAGTCGAAGCTGGCCCACTCGGAATAAATCGCTCCATGTGCACTACGACACGAGGCACACTCACGGATGGTCCAAGCAAAACAATTCAAGGGAATGCAACGGCTCTCAGTGGACTTCCAATAAACTGCCCACGAAAAAGCCACGGGCAGCGCAAGCATGAGTCGCGCAAGTAGCCGACTATTGCGTGCTATGCGTGCTAGGCGGTGGACTCGACTCGGCCGAAAGTCTTATCGCTCCTCTTCATCAAAATACAGGCCACTGCTTGCTGAGACTCTCGTACAGGCTGACATGCCAGCCAGAGCGTACCCCAGCACTTTGTGCAGGACCCTCGCCAGTGTCGCAAAATCCGGAAATCTTGAGCACGCCACCTGGGCTGAACAGGGAAGAGGGTACCACTTGTCAAGGCTCAGCAACAAACAGGCAACGACAACGATGTAGATTTAGTAACCCCCCCCCCCCGCCCCGACACGGCTCCAGCCATGTCCCCTCCAATGGTCCGAGGCCCCTGCCGGTCGAGTTGAAACTGTTGATCTCGTCGCTGATGCTCGCATCCTGTGATGACTTAAGGGAAAGAGGATCAAGGTGATGATCTCCCGTGCGGAACTTTCCCGTGTCACAGGCACCACTAGTCATGTCACTAGTCCACAACACAGAAGTGTCGGGCCTTGTAGTCGGCAGCACAGACAGGAAGGAGCTGGAAGTCAAGGCCGTTGTAGAACGTCACGTTTCTCAGGCACGGGGCGGGGCGGGGCCCCCTGAAGCTGGGACTGAAATCCGCCGCAACTTGGGACACAACCTGACAAAATCCCATCTTCCTCCCCTGCAACTTTTACAGCCGGGCATCATGTCGGAGAGTTCAAGCAGCGCGTTCATGCGCTTCTTGAAGCCTTCGATGTTCGCAGCGATCTCTGCGAGGTTCTTCGGGGCTTCACCGAAGCCCTCGCCCTCCAGCGACTTGAACTTCTTCAGCCTCGGGGAGAATGCAGAAGGCAAGCGCAGTGCTGCCGGAGCCAGGGCCTTTGCCTTTGCAACGCTGGGTGAGCAACCACCCCAAGACCATGGTGGCGGTAGCGTTGCACAGCAAGATCAAAACGAAGTGAGCGGAATCAGTAGCGCAGCTAGGACATGAGTCGGTCTGGCCAAAAACTAAACGCTTGGATCGATGACTCCATTAGCGAGGATACTTGAAAGCGACTGCACAGGGACACGGAACTTGATCAGCGCAATGACATCCACGAACCAGCCCGCGAAGACACCCTTGAGCTGGGCAGGACCGCCTGACGGAACCGATTGCACGAAGCACACCCACAAGTCTAACCGGCCTTAGCTAGTTCTACAACGGCCGGATGTTCCTGACACGGAATTGCTGTGAGACAGTTGGGGCAGCGGCAGTACCGCACGACACGAGCTTTCCGGTAAGCATGTTTCGATCTGTGCCAGTCGGCCAGCGAGATCTGTGAGAGCGCTGCCTGGCTTCGAGAAGCCTGCCACGCTGAAGGGCGTCATCGGGGATGCCTCTGGACGGGGCACTTCTGCAGTCAAAGGAAGTCGCGGCAAGTAGCGGAAAATGTCCCGATTGCACATGCAGAGACCCCACGTAAGCTATAGAGGGAGTGGAATGCAAGGAGATTCTTCCCAACCTCATTGAAAGTGAAGCCCGCAATCTCATCTCCGATCTTCTGGCTACTGCTGTACCTGAGCAGCTTCAAAGACGGCTGTCAGGACATCTGAAATGGAGCGCAGCCAGCAGGTATTGCAATGTAAAGATACAGACAGGGACTCAGAAGGATACCGGCACGAACCCGAGGCTGCAGAGACACGCGCATCGTGCGGCAGGGCTCTAAGTTGCGGTGGCTTGGGGCGCCCTCGTTTTTAGCATGGACCAGCATTTGCGAAAAACATCCCCATGGACCGCTCCGCTCCAGGTGACAATGATTTGGCACCGCATCTAAGCGCCGACAGAACAGAGTAGATGCGCATCCGGGCATGGCCCTTGCAAAGGCCCAAACCCCTTTAAACTGCCAAACCTTCCATCCAGGTCCCAAACCCTCCCTGAAACCCCCCAAGCCCTCCATCCCCTTCTTGCCCCCCAGCTGCTTGATTTTCACGACCTTGGCCTCCATGGCACACACTGCCGTGCAGCTTCGCCCGGGCGATTGGTTGGAGTCCAGCCACTCCCCTGGGCTCAAGCTTTCTTTTGTAGGGTTTAGGTTTTAGGGGTTTAGGGTGCAAAATAACCAAAAAAACTCTGCTGTAGGGTGCATTGAGGACCTATGTAGGCGGACTGCACCAGGCCCCCTTCTTGCAGCTGGACTTGAGTGCCCACCAGAAAGGGGCCCAACCCTAAGCCAAAAGGCCAGCGCAACTTAGTTTTGCCTTGGACCCCTTTCAGAAATTCACTCTCCAGCCTCGAGGGTCCTATTCCCCAAATCCCAAACACCAAAGCCCTTTAAGTTCACTCCCCTCGGCAATGCGGGGAACCGACCTCGATTCAGAGATGAGCAGTGCAGTTGGACACGATAGGTCGGCTGCTAATGTTCGTATTGCATCGTTGCCAGTGCTGTCCTCCTAGAGTAACATTGCTTTTGGCACCAGGGTTTACCTCACTGTCAGGCTTACTAGACGCATTCTTGGCAATCGAGTAGAGTACCACTGCCCCTTGCTATGCGAATTGTAGGTTGTCTGTGTCTAGCCTACCGCCCTTAAAGTCTTAAATAAAGTTATTGTCGCTCTCAGGAGGGTTCGGTCCAACTGGTGCTCGTACCAGTTCGTTTTCCCAGATAGTTCTACCTGTGAATGACTATTCTTCCGTTCGCGGCGATCCTTGTTTGTTACGGTTGTGCTCGCTGTGACGAAGCACCCCTTTGCAAGCTGCTGAGGTGCTGAAGCAGCCGCAAATCTCAGACTCGTCCTTGTCGATGTTGACGATCCTTTGCCCACTCAACCAAACCCTTTCAGCTTGCCCTCCCTCACTCGGACAGATGGCGAGGCCCATGGGCTACAAGGTCGGCATACGAAGAGAAAGACGGACGCAGCAAGGAGAACTGAAACAAGCGATCGGGTCAGGATTAAGGTAGAGGGGTCACAAGGTTGCATCGCCGTGAGCTACAGTGTTACCAGGATGTCCTCTTCGACAACCCCAAACTTCATGGTGAGCTTGTGCCATGCCATGGGACCGTAGATTGCAAGCTGGTTCTGGCAAAGCGTCCCTGCTGATATGCCCCGAGATACATGAGGACAGTCAGGGTCGAGCATCGAATTGCGATAAGATAAAGGAACAATGGAGTCATGATGTTTAGGTGTTGATATACGTCTGTGTAAGACCATGAACCCGAGGCCTCAGCTACAAGTGCCACAGCTCCAAAGATCAAAAAGCCAAGATGCCACTTCCCACCCTCTGCTTGCCCTGCCAACGTGCCATGCACCTCCAGTCCAGAGGCGTCTGGGTAACGGTCGATTCTTTTTGGAGGGTCGGTGGGGTTTAGTCTTTGAAGGCCTGCAGGTAGCCATCCAGAGCAACTCGCCAAGCCGAAATTCACGAAGGCTGCGATCACATTGCAACAGCTGGGAAGGTTCTATGCCATTCTATGCAGGTGAGTCCAAGACCCAAACGACCTCGCACCTGACCTCTGCCAGAAAACCTCTGAACCCCTCAGCCCGGACACTGGACCCCCTCACCTCCAAACCTTGAAATGCCCGGTACCCTGCATGGTGCAGCAGTGCCTGATCGGGGCCAGTGATCGCCTTCAGATGAGCCCGCGCTCCTACACCGGCAGCGCTCTTGCTGAGCCCACCTGGCACAACTTGGCGCACAGTCGAGGCTCGTGGCCGAAGCGGCACGATACGGCGGACATTGGCACTGCAGGCTTCACCGTTCAGGGCAGGCGCACAAGTTTCAACGGTTGGTCGTGTCCCCTCGGGGCCTGCCAGGACTTGCAGGGACGCGCAGTCGTCGTTTGTTTGGCAACGGCTGCTAAAATTGACGCGCAGTTTGCTGGCCGAGGCGATGTGCACGTCCTGAAAAGCCACAGCTTCAACACGAAATTTGATGTGGGCACTGAAAGCGCAAGCCCGGAACCCCGAAGTCCTGCGTCCAGGAATGCGAACGGGCGGGATACGGATGCGTCGGCGTCTCCACGACAACGACGTGCTGCAGCGACAATCCTTCACACAGTCTTCATTGCGAGCAGCAGCAACAGCATCAGCAGCAGCCATCACCACAAGCAACAACAACACCGCCACGACGACGACAGCAACGGCAACAGAAGCGACAGCAACTTTAGCATGGACAGCGACGACACTTCACTACAATCTTAATTAGTTTTCGGTTCTGGCTTGTGCACGTCACACCAGCGCAACTCCTGCCGGATCCTTGCAATAGGTCAGGGTCAAGCGTCGTGCGAGCACCTCGTCATGGGCCGCCTCTAGGCATGCGGCCCAGGCTTCCTCGGACGTGACTTGGACTTGGTTCGCGGTCTGGAGCTTTGTCCACTCGTCCAAGAAAGTCGTGCCTGCCATTGCACCAGCATTTGGCGAGAGAGAGAGAGAGAGAACCCCACAACAACTTGAAATCTTAGGTAGAAGCTCACCTGAAACCTGCCGATGCCCGACTCTGCATGTGTGTGTGTGTGTGCGTAAGCTTTCAAGCCGAGTGTTGCTGGTACGGATATATTAGAAACACCCCCATGCCTTTGTAACTAAAACCCCCAAACTAAACCCAGACCCTAAACTCCAGCGGCCTTCCGGCGCGGGAGCCACAAAAAAGCTGCAAAACTTGTTGAGAATAGACCCCTCGAAGCCCTTTAATCTAACGCTTCTCAGAGCTGCTCTCGCCGACGCGGAAAACCTCCTCCTCCTCCGCGTCGCTCGCCTTTTCGGCCAGGGACTTTACCAGCTCGTCCTGGACAGCGCGATTCTGACATTTCAGGTGCTTCCGCAGGCGGCTGAAGTGGGTTTCGGGCTCGGACACTCAAGGAGAGCTTCGGGGGCCGGTCCACTGAGGCCGAGGAACCTCAAGTTAATTCCAAATCCCGAATACTATGAGTTGAGCACGGCTGAGAGTCTCAGGGTTTCGAAGAGGTCCTGCTTGTCATTGCTGAGGCCCAGCTTGGCCATGACAGAGCGGAAGAGCTTCACAGGCCTCGGCTGTGGGCCTTTGTGATCCTCACAATCTTTTGTTTTCAGGAACTACGTAAGCCCAGAGGTGGCAATGTGTGCCTCATTACTTAGACAAAAATCCTACGACTTCGGGTTTTGCATTTTGGCGCCCTCCTCCTGATCAACACCTCCCCGCCAGGCCACACACGCCCCTGTCGCTCTCGCGGGACGAGCCAGCCGTAGCGAGGAGGCCTGAGAACTTTCAGGTTCAAGGTCAGATGGACTTCGGGGAGGCAGCGTCACCGACATGTCAAGACATAGCAAGGGTACACAAGGTGGGCCCATTTGGGGTCTTAAAGTCTGAGAACAAGATTCCCTTCAACGTCGCTCGAACTCTGGATTGGCGCGGTAAAGCCTCCGAACCGGTTGAGTGTGAGAGTTCTGATATTGCAATCTGCATTCAGTTGCTTGTGCATCCCGCCTCGGGCCCAAGTTGAAATATGAGTGCCGTCACAAGAATCTGGTACCCTTGAGATTGAATCCAGTTCAAGCCCCTGTGTGCCCGAGAAGCTCGAAAGAATCGTCTCCAGACGCTTGTGCGATCCACTTGTCCTCCTGGCTAGCCTGGGATGCCGAAGGGTGCAAAATGAAACGTCTCTCTCACTCGCTCGCTGTCCCCCCTGCGTCTGCTTTCTTGTTCTGGACTTCCGTGTGAAGGCGATCGGGTACAGTATCCAGTACGTCCGGCCTGGCAACCCCTTCAAGCAAGCCTGGCCTCGCATGGGGCTTGTCCACAAAAACCGTTAGGCATGTGAACACCGTCTAGCTTCTAGAGGCAAACTAGACCAACTCCACTACAACATCAGCCGCCCACTGCGAGAGAAAGCGATCCCTAGTAACCGAAGTTCGAACCCCCAAGAGAGGGCTCTCCCTCTTTCTTTTCTGTCCATCCCCATCCCTCTCTGACCACGTCGTAGACTGAGCGGCATCCGCAGTGAGCCTCCACTTTCCAGAAGTGGCGTCGAACGAAATTTCGAAGCGTCCCCCTTGTTGCTTGTACATGGCTTTGCCATGTCGTGCTCCACTTCGCGAGTAGCTGCCTCAGTCATCAATCTCCCTAAACGTCCCACTTTGAGCTGGGTGCCAGCAAGCCGCTACCTGACCCCTGTGCACCGAAACGACTTTTTGCAAGCGGACTAGCATAGCCTCCCGCATTGCCGGCTCGGGCCGTACTGACAGGGACAGGCACAGCACTGTCACAGTAGGCTTGGGCCTACAACAAACGAACCAACCTGCACCTCAGGTTTTGGCTTTAGGTGTTTGGGGGCTCCAGGCCACGAGACCATCTGCATCGTCCATGCCGTCCACACGGACGGCCCACGACCGGTCACTCTTGGACACCTCCAAGGCTTGCGCTTCAAGATGGCTGGCTTGGGAGCTTGCGGTCGACGGCTGAACAGACGGGAGCATTGCTGCAGTGCTGCAGGTCGCACCTCCAGGTGCTTCCGGTTGGCCACGAGCCTTGCGGAGCAGAGAGGATCCGCTGCAGTGTTTGAGGAAAGCAGGGTTTCGTGAGCCAAGGAGCCGCTGCACGTTGCGTTTCAGGTTCACCTCCCCATGGAGCTGGATCCTCGAGACTTCGACGTTGGGGTACCGGCTTCGGGAACTTTGAGATTTGGGATGGTTGCGGGCGCCCGGGACCTGGTCCGAAGCTGTTGGAGCCCGAAAGGCACGGAGGAGGCCCGAAACCCAGAGCCAAGGCTCTCTTTGTAGATGTTGACGTTGTTGGAGTTGCCGATGATGGGGCAGTCCGCACGGATGATGCCGTCAGGCATCCCTGGCCAGTGCGCGAAGGCCTTGCCCTTGAAGGAGGGGGGGGCGTGCTTGAAGTCCGGCCCAAAGTTGAACCTGAGACTATCGGGTGTCGGGCTCAGGGGTTCCGCTACACGCGGATCTAAACGCCGGGAAGCTGGAACATGATTTTCCTGATGGCCGTGCAGCAGAAGAACAGGAAACCACAGCACTATTCATCCTCAAACACCAAGGGCCTGAACCCTAAATTCTCCTGAACCCTTTTTTGAGCCCAGACTCTGCCAATCAGCTGAACCCTAAACCCTAAACCGCCACCCCTGACAGAAAGCAGAGGAGCTGTGCCCGGCCCTTGAAGGAGAGGGCGGGGTAGAGATTGGAGCCTTTCGGCAGCAGGTTCGGCCCGAAACTCGGTGCAGCCTCCTCGTCCCAGTCCCCATCCTGGCGGCCGGGAAAAGCTTCGTGTTTAGGATTTAGGGTTTTGGGGTGTAGGGTTTAGGGTTTTGGGGTGTAGGGTTTGAGGGTTTAGGGCTGGAACAGAGCTCAAGAAAATGTGTACCATCCATGCCCCCTCAGCCGGTCAGGAGACATCTCTTGCTTTTGATGGGGGGGAAAGAGGTCCCTTGCGGCAACAACCTTGTGATCAGCTCTTTGGTCGGGTGGCTATGCTGCTCATGGGGAGCTTCGGGTAGTTTAGGGCCAGTGGTGGACATGTGGTTCTCTCGTTGTGACGGCCAAGATTCACTGGCGAACCAAATTTTTCCAGCGTCGATGTCCACTGCTATGCCCACGACGACATTCCTCGGCCAGGCGTTAGGTATTTGTTACAAGCATGTGCTTCGCGTCTTTTATGGCTCAGTTCTCCAACACGCCAGCAATCAGATAATTCTATAACCAGGTTCGACCAGGGAAAAACCAAGTACACGCGAAGTAAGACTGGCTTCATACTCACAGAAACTCGGACGTCTGAGCATGTACGCGTGGGAGCTTGCTGCAAGATGGTGTAATGCTCAGTGACTGTGAGTGATTGAGGGAGGGAGGGAGGGAGGGAGGGAGTGTGAGTGTGAGTGTGAGTGTGAGTGTGAGTGTGAGTGTGAGGGCGAATGCGAGCGTGAGCGTGAATGCGAGCGTGAGTGCGAGTGTAAGGTGTGAGTGCGTGTGTGTGTGTGTGTGTGTGAGCAAATGTGTTTGTATGCACATATTACATCATAAGCCATATATACCTTTCTGTATGTATGTGTTTCCGGTTACATGATAGCTGCTTCATGTAATTATTCGCGCATTTGCTCTTAGTTAGGCTGTTTGTTCATTGCTTAGGTTTTTTTCGCTCGCGTAAATCCAGAAAGGAGCTCCGCTGCTGCGGGTTCTCGTCACGCACGAAAGAATTCGAAGCTCGGCGGTCACAAGACGTCGGCGCCAGCTACCGGCAGGTGGTCTTGAGTCGCCGCAGTGGCCAAAACAGAACGAAGTCAGAGGGCTCCCCGGTAGCAAACGCAATCATCATAGTCAAGCTGACAACAAAACAACGACATGGTCTACTCCAGACACAAGATGACACAAGCACCCGAAAGCAACTGGTGGGCCATTGAAATAATGATATCCTGCCAAGAAGAAAACAAGCGGGCTTGTGTGAATTGGTCCGCTCTAGCACACCATCAGTCGAACGCGGCCTCAACCCTTAAACTGTACACCTACGTACGGTGGCCCTACGAGGAGCTCGTCATCAGCCTGAGGGAAGCGTACATGGAAGTGCGCAACTTCGTCGCGTGGTACATGTTGTTGAGGAAAATTTTGAACTGCATAAGAATTGAACAAAATAACGCCTCGCAACAAGGCATGATAATCTCTACCTTTGCAGACTTCTGTTCGCTTGTACTGACATGACACATGAGAACAAGAGGTAACACAAACAACATCGCCACGCAGCCTAGTCAAACCAAATTACTGTACTGTAGATGTCTATCTATCCGTCCGTCCGTCCGTCCATCTGTCTAATAAACATTTCTCAAGTACCCGAGGCTCTCTGCGAGCTGGCGGGAGGCGCCGGTGCCACTTTGGTTCCAAGTTCTACTCCAGGCCAGCTTCTTCCCATCATGCCAAAGGATGGAATGCCTGAGCCGTCCAACGGTGTGTATCTATGTGTATATGTATGTATGTATGTATGTATGTATGTATGTACGTACATACGTATGTATGTATGTATGTATGTATGTATGTATGTATGTATGTATGTATATCCTCTTTTCTTGTGTGTTTAGCTATGTATCTATTTCTGGTACAAATATATATATATATATACATAACTAAACAACCAACATACATACATACATACATACATACATACATACATACATACATACATACATACATACATACATACATATATACATACATACATATACTGTATATACAGTGTATATATATATATATAACACCTGCA